AAAAAAAAAAAATCAACAAAAAAACCCAAAAAACCCCCAACAATAAAAAAAGTTTTCATGGGGAAGAGGGAGAAAAAAAGAGAAGGGGGGAAGAGAGAGCAGAGAAATAGTGCAAAATGCTCTTGTACTAGTGGTTTTCAAAGTCCACTGCAGTACAGACAAGGGGTAGCCCAGCTGCCAAGCGCCGCTCCCCGGGATGTGGTGGAAAGGCTATCCTGACCCCTGTGCCATCCTTGTCCTCTTTCCCAGCCAGCATCCCAGGTACTGGAGCAGGCTCGGTGCAAACCAAACATGGTGGCTGGAGACCCCCGAGCCTCCCACCTCCCCCTGATGCACAAACTGCCAGCACCTCCCCATGTGCCTAGACTCCCACCACCACCCCCTGCTGCTCACCCAGCCCTCCCCAGCTCCCAAATCTGCCCTCAAATGCAAAGGGGTGCCACTGGGCACTGAGAACGGGAACACCTTGTCACTGCTGCCCCTGGAGGGGGGGCAAACCCTCCTGAATCCACTCTTGCCCCCAGTCTGACCCAGACTCCAACCCCGGCCCTAAATATTAGTGCAGCCTGCAAACAGCCTCGTCCTGCCGGGGATCCTCAAGGGAGTGGGTGGCCGGGGGGGGGCGCTCGGTGCCCCATCCCAGGTGAGGTGTGGTGCAGCCCCCTCCTTGCATCCTCCTCCACCCAGGTCGGTGGGGAGAGGACAGGCAGTGCCATCCCAGTGCCGGATCTGCAGGGGAGAGGGAGGCTGTGCAGGATGGATTTTGGTGCTCTGGGCTCCCGGGTCCATGGCTGAGGCTCACTTTGTAGGCAGAGGTCGGGGAGGCACCTTGTGTCCCCCTTCCAGTGTCACCATGGTGGCCACATCATGAGACCACTACCAGGCCCTGTGAGCTGACCCTCATGCTGCAAAAGCATCAGCCCCAAAAGGCGAGGTCTGTGGGGAGCTGCCATCCCTCTGCCTGCTCCCAACCCGCCCCAGAGGCATGTCTCCTTTCTCTGCAGCCAAAGGCTTTCAAGTTTTGGGAAATCAAACAACAAAACAAACAAAAAAAAAAAAAGCAAGAAAGAGGGAGAGAGAAGGAGGGAAGGGTCCTGGGGAAGGTGGTACTGGCCTATAACAGGAGGTTTTGCACAGGTATCGGCAAGCAGAAGAGATGAGAGACGGTGACAATGGTGACCTGTGGCCCTTGGGGTTGGCACAGGCTCCTCCTCCTCCTCTACCTGCCTTCTTTACCCCATTCTTCATCCTACTATTAACCCACCACCCTGATCAAACCAACCCTGCTCCATCAGCCCTGCAGAGCCCAGGGGGGTCCCTCCCCAGGCCCCAGCACCCGCCATGCTCCCCTCCAGCAACATAGGGGTCACACTGCTCCAGCAGGTTTTTTTGGGGAGGCAGATCTGCATTTGGTGGCACTCTCCCTTCTTTTCAGCAAGGGAAGATGCCTCGTCCCTAGCTCCAAACATGCCCCACTGGGTCTCCATGGAAGTCCATCAGCAGAACTTGCCCCCACTGTAACTCCGAGGGAAATAACCACAGGGTGTCCAGTCCTGCCCTTGATCGGGGCAAGCGTCCTGGGGGGGGCACGGGGTGCTCGGGGGAGTGGTGCCATGCCATGGGAGGCTATGATGGCACCTGACCAGTGATGAAGAGGAGCCTCCACCAGACCCCCTTGGTGTTGAATCCTCCTTGTCCCATCCCTGCTGGCAGGGACCCGGTGGCACTGTGGAACCCCTTTCCTCTCTGCCCAGCTCCAGGCTGTTCAAAGGGGCTTTGGGGGTGCAGAAACCTTCCCCCTGAGATAGGCTACGTCCTTTGACCAGCGGCAGCTGCTGTCTCCAGCCATGGCAGTGGGATGTGGTCCCCACGCGTTTGCCCACTGGGACCACAGCACCCAGACCCCACAGCTTGCTTTCCTTTCCTTCCTTTCTTTCGCTGCAGGATCTCCTCCCAGCACCAACATCCTGGAGACCCTTGTCACAGGAAAACGAGAGGCAACAGTCCCAAAATCCAATGTAGAAATTAAAAACAACAAAAAAGTCAGGAAGGCAGCTGAGGGCTGTCCCAGCACACCTGAGGCAGTGGGTCTTCATGGTGCGGTGGCTGCTGTCACTCAAGACGGAGCTGGGTCCCAGGTTAAAGGCAAGGGTCTATCGCAGGATCTTGCTGCAGGGTGGCAGGAATTAGCCGTGGCAATGCGAGTGATATCCTCAATGCGAAAGGATGGAGAATGGCATTTTCCTACCCATGGGAAAGGCTATAAACCAGCCTTACAAAAATCCAAGACAAAATGAAGTGTAGTGTTTTTTTTTTTTTTCCCCTGGAGCAAACCACATTTTGGCTGTGAAAAATAAAATAAAATAAGAATCTCCATAGTTGGTCTTCCTCGTGGCAGCAAAGGGTGGTGAAGAGTTTTGGCCCCGATCCCCTTGTCCTCACACAGGGATGCTTCAGTCTGGACAGTGATAAGTATCTGCAGGGTTGGCTTGGATGCAGCCCTCGGCGTCGGTGAGGCCGGGATCCCGCAGGCACTGGTGCTCCTCGGTAACTCTGCTCCCGTGCTTAGTCTGGCAGGTTACTATTATTGGTTTGGGGGGAGCAGCATCTCTCCCCCTATTTACAGTGAAGCCCTCCAGATTGCAGGTTTCTAGGCGAAGTTTTGCAAGGAGGAAAAGCCATGTTTGTGCACACACATGCGTGCACGTGCACGTGCACGCAGGTGACAAACACTTCCACACCTGGATGGACAACAGTCAAAGAGTCCCACTTGTCCAAAAAGATTTCTGACCTCCTGTTCAAGAGAAACTGGACAGAGAAGGGTTATATTTTCTTTTAGAAGTCCATGAATATTTCTGAGGGGAGTATTCATGCTGTTGCAGGAGCTGTGTTTTCCCTCCCCGGCTCATCTCCAGACATGAAGACAGCAGTCCCACTCCTCCTCCTGATGTGTCAAAATCTGCCTGGATCTGGGGCGGTAATTTGAGACTGAAGTCAAATCAAAACAACTGGAGTGAGTCCCAGTGGTGTGGAGAGGAGACACTGGAGGACCACAGGGAGGAGGGGGAATGCTGGTGGCCACAAGGTTTTCTCTTGAGACTCTTTAGAAAACAACTAGCTAACCCTCCCCCCAAAAAATTAACCTGCCCGAAACCCATACTGGAAAATCACCAACTTGGAGAGCTTCCTACATTGGGGTGGCCTCTGCTTGTGGCACAGGCGACGCTGGGGAGACGCGCAGGGAAGCATGGGTCAGCAGAGAGGCTGCAGCTGCTTTGTCTCTGGCTCTGTCCTTTCCTTGCTGAGTCCTTGTTGTCAAGAGGCTGCTGTAGATTCCGAGTCCTCAGTTTCTTCAGGGTTTGTTTTTCTCTTTTGTCTTCTTTTCTTTTGTCTTCTTTTCTTTTTGCTTTCTTTTTGCTTTTCACTTTTCTTTTCTTTTTGCTTTCTTTTCTTTTGCTTTTCCGTTCTTTACTTCTTTCTTTTCCTTTCTCTTTTTTTTTCCTTTTCCTTCCTTTCTTCTTTTTCTTCTCCTTCCTTTCTCTTTTTTCTTTTCCTTTCTTTTTTTCTTCTTACATGAGATGAAAGGAATCGGAGTCCCGGGGCACAGGGAGGTGCAGAGGGGAGGGTGGAAGGGAGCCTGGGTAGGTAGTGATGGGGCGGAGGGAGGGGATGCGACTTCACTCCACGTTGCTGCTGTCAAATGCGTGGCACTGCAGGTCTCCGCTCAGGTAGTCAGTCCCTGGCAGCTTCATGCCGTATTTGTCCACGCACCAACACAACCCACGCTTCCGGCCTCGGGAGGGCTTGCACTGGGGAGAAACCCAAGGGCAGAGATCAGGAGATGGCCACCAGCTGCTGCGTGGCTCCCTCGTGCTGGGGATCAGGACCAGCCCGGCACTTTGCCTCTTTCACCCCACCAATGCAATCCCCTGGGTAGGACCTAGCTCCTGCTTTCTACTTTCAGCACATCTCTGTCCCTGCTGCTACCCCAGCCTGGGGCTCTCTGACTTTTCCTGCTCCCACACCAGCTCCTTCAGGATGCCTGCCTCAGGCTGGATGGCGCTCAGAGCCATCAGTAAGGCCACCCACCACCAACCATGCCTGGAGATGCTCACGGCAACCTCCCAACCAGCCCAGTAGAGGAAAACCCTCCATCCTTTCCATCCAGGGCAGCAGCTCCTCCCTGGGTGGGAAGCATCCCTCCATGAGGCTCGTTTTTACCTGCTTCCTCTTGTAGAAGCCTTTTCGGTCACAGTTGGGGAGGTGGACAGCGCGAGGGACCATCCGCTGGCTGCTCTTGAGCTCCTGCAGGGATGCCTCCATGTGCCTGCGGCAGGGGCCCTGCCAGTGGTTGAGAAGAGGGAGCATGAGAAGGGGAGCACCCTGCAGCAAGCCTCCATCTGCAAATGCCCCCAGGTCCCCTGTCCCTTGCCACCGGCACCCACTCCCCAGGGGGTCAAAGCCCTCCCGCAGGCCCCTGCCCGTGGGAGCCCTGCGGAGGGAAGGTGAAGGCACCCACCAGCTCAAACTCCTGCCGGAGCTCAGGGATGACAACGCGGGGGTGTGCTGTGTTCTCCGCCATGCCCACAAACTTGGCCAGGGTCAGCTTCTTCCGACGGTCCTTCTTCAGGGCCTCAGCCTTGAGCTCAGAGAGGCGCCCATGCTTGGGCCGGTAGGCCTTGGGCGGGTAGGTCTCCTCTGTCATCTCCGACGTGGTTGGCTCCTCATGTTCTCGGGACTCTCGTTCTGGAAGGGAAGGGATACCAAACCGTCAGGTCTCCAAGAGCTGACTGGGGCTTGCTTTTGCATGGAGAGCCTCCTGCCCAACCCCAGAGGACATCTTTGGACGAGGCAGGATGGGAACAAATGACCAAAGAAATCCCCTTCCCAACTGCTGCCTATAGCCCTGGCTTTATCCCACTGTGTGGGACTTGGCATGGCTTTTGTGTAACCCCCAAGCTCAGGACAGGAAGGTGCCTGAGGGCATGGAGGATTTGGGGGTCAGGATGGGCTCCTATATACAAGGCCACCACTGTTTGCAGTGTGTCAGTGGAGAAGGACTGGTGGGAGGGCTATCCCACACCCAGAAAGGACCAGATGACACACAATATGTGGCAGAGAAGCCCCTCTTTAACCATGGCGAGAGGATTAAGTGACAAATTCACACCCCACCCTGCCTTGCAGATGCAAAAGCAAAAGCCAGGGATGCTTGAAGATGAGACAAATCCAAAGTCAAGGCCAATTACACAGCAAAGCCACCATGTGGTTGGGCAGACGCTTTGGCAGCAATGCCGAAGACGCAGCTGACAAGCGCTGGGATCTCCAGGGTCCCCAGTCTGCAGCCCCATGCTCATGGGACCAAACCAGGCCCTGTCCGCTGGCACGCACTGAGCAGCTGGCAAAGCCTCGGGTAACACTGCCGAATGGTACTGCCTGACCGTAGCTGCCTCCGACAGTACTGTCAGCAAGGGAGGACCACGTTTAGGCTTTGCCCATGGCAGTCACTTTCCTGTACACCCCCCAGATCGCCTCAGTGTGACCTGTGCTGGCAAGATGCAGTCAAGAGCCCTGCATGGTTATATATAGGAGAGAGCTGGTGGCAGTCTAAACTTAGATGACTTGTGACATTTAGTACAGCCACCAAAGTGAAAAAGGGTTATTTCTGGACTAAATTTGAATAGAGTTTAAGGTTCTTGAGGTTTCTGGTCTCCCAGTCGCTGGTTCCCAGCAGCCCTGTGCTGACACCAGGTTTGCGCTGGGGCCAGTAGAAGGGCACAGGGGAACCCACCGCAGCAGGAGGAAAAGCATCAGGGTGGCTGCAATCCCTCCCTGCACAGTGTCTCCAGCGACTTTGATGCCAGTGAACCCAGTTCATCCCCTCCTGCAACCCTATGGTGAAGATGGCAGGGCACCCACTTTGCCCCTTCTTGAAACATCACTGTTGGGACAAAAGAAAAAGGCTCAGGATGAAAATAAAAGCGCGTAACACCCAATCCCACCTCCCCAGCAAGGCAAACAGGAGTCTCCCTGCAGACCAGCTGCTCCCTGGAGCCCAGATGTACCCCAGGAGGGAAGAAGATGGCTCTGCCCCACCAGGCTGCTCAGGGGTGCCTCAGGGATGCCCGGCAAAGGGGGGACGGATGCGCTGCTCAGCGGCAGATGGCAGCACTGGCCTGTCACACACCCCCCCTAGCCGGGTGGCCTTGGAGGTAGCAGAGGGGACATGCTGGTCGCTGGGACTGCAAGCCTGCCACGGCTACTGGTCTCCTCTTCCTCCTTGCCAAGGCAGACCTGCCCTCTCTCAGCAAAACTTCAAAGCTTTCCATGGCCATTTATTTACTCAAACAGCCTTTTTTTCCCCCTCTTTCCACAAGAACAGAGCTAGGTCAGCATCCCAGACTGAGCACCCTCCTAACTGCCCACAGCAATGTAAAATAACCCCATGCATCATCCCCAAGACTCCCACGTATCTCCAGGATGGGATTCTCTTTCCATTTTGCCCCACAATGCTCATATGTTTGGGGTTTCTTTCTTGCTTCAGGACTCAAAGGTCCCCACAGGTTGGGGCTCCTCTATTATAAGGGAATGACAGACAAGGGACAGGGAAGAAATCGATTAAATTGGGAATGATCTTGTCCCCCAGGAAATGAGACTGTACAAGCTGCAGTAGAAGAGCATCCTTTGCCACAAAGATAGTGTGGCAATCCGAGGTCCAAAAGGAGACCGGAGACATCCACAGTGACTAAGCTCTTCCATGGCAATGAAACATGCTGTGATCTGTCCCAGGAATCCCCTCTGGCACCGACTGTCAGGGCCAGACATGGCAGCCAGGGCATCTCCCTGGGGTGCCCTACAATAATTGAGGGGAGCGGAGGATTCACACCAGCACAGGCAACCCTGCAATAACACAAGAGGGTCACAGCTCATTACCTCTGCAATAACAAATATGAGAGGCACAGCTACCTGGGCAAACCTAAAATAACAAACAAATGGGACAACGCAGCAAGGATTTAGTCAGAAAAACAGCACGGGGTGTCCAGTCCCCAGGACTCACAGTGCAATCGGTGTTTGCAGCAGCTCAGCCTGCTCACACGGTCAGTGGTTCCAGCCTCTGCAAACACATTATTTCTCTGCTTCCCACAAGCTGCCAGCCAGCCAGAGCAGGCTGGGAGCTGGGGACTAACGTGGAGCCCTTTTGGGGAGGGGAGATGGGAGCCACAGGAGCCCAGTGCTCTGCAGAGGGAGCCAAGGGCTGGTGTGCTCTGAAAGCTGCCCAGCTCCCAGCTCAAGCCCAGTGCTTCCTGCGGTGCTGAAAAAGCACCTGGAACTGAGTCCTTTCACCCTCCCCAGCACGCACGGGTCCCTGCTTAAGCAGTGATACAACAAGGGATGGCTGTTGTGAGATTCCTCTGTCTGCTGCTCAGCAGTGGTGTCTAGTTTATTTCCCAGTAAGAACCTCATGGATGCTTTGGAGGGATCCCTTTCCTCCACCTTCTGATGTTTTTTATAACCTAATTTCCTTCAGCAACAAGGCTGAAGCAGTCCCTGCTCATGCACTCAACTACCTGGTCCCTAATTTGATACTTACAAGACAATTTTGTCAAACTGAAGGGCAGAGGTCTCTGACACACAAACCCCTGACAAGCTCTGGGCAGCTGGTAAGGGACCTTCCCGGTGCCAACAGGAGAGGGAAAGGCAGAGCAGGGGCAGGCAGCACCCACGCCGTCCTGCCCTTGGCCTCCTGGCTGGCTCATCCACATCAACCTGCAGCTGCCTGCTGCAGCCGGAACCAGACACCCACATCAGCATCTCCAGAGCCCCTGAACCCATCTGCCCACCCTCACCCATCAGCTCATTCGTCTGCCACCCTGGGGCTGGTTCGTGGCAGGCAGAAGGCACCGCTGTGCCCTGCTCCTGAAGAGACACCGGAAAGAGCAACGCCCAATTTCCCTGAATGAGCCCTAATTGTGCATCTGAGACTCAGGAAGGAGGCTGGAGTGCCTCCTCCCTCGCTGTCAGGATCTGGCCCGCTGCACAGCCCCTTCCCGCCTACTCCCATCCGCTGTGCCAACCCAGCGATTGGGTTTCAGGCAGGCGGCTGTTTGCAGAGGCAGAGCATGCTACATCTCCGTATTTCAGCTACAGGCACAACCCATAGGCAGGAAAGCCCTGCTCACTGTGTCCCCAGCCATGGAACAGCGGGAAGCAGGATTAGGGCAGCTCTCACATCCCCAGTCCTCAGGAGGAGGTGACATCTCAGCAGAGGTCCCAGGCTTGCTGGCCTCACAAAAGAATGACATTGCTGGCCCAGCTGAGGATGCCTGGCTAACCTGGAGGTTAGAGTTGGGCTGTAGCCACCTCAAGGGGAGTTGACCCTACAGCCAAGGCAGGAGACTGAACTCAACTCAGAGCCACCCCATGGCTTCGT